CAAATATGTTTTTGCAGGGTCATGATGACGGAGGCGTACGCCTCTCTGGATCAAACAGTGAGGTATTACGGAACTCCTGAAAAACCTGGCGCATCCTTCTCTTTTAACTTCTATCTTATCACAAGTCTCAGTGTTTCATCGAGTGCAAGTGACTTTAAGAAAGTCATCGACGATTGGATGAGTAAAATGGACAGTTTCCGCAAGCCAAACTGGGTGGTAAGTTCCAATGCCACAAAACGGATGCTCACGTATTCGTTAATAATAAGAGAGATCACTACTTCTCTATGGTTTAGATCGGGAACCACGATCAGTTCCGAGTTGGCTCTTTCTTCCGGTACGGCGAGGAGCTTCAGAATGGCCTCAACATGATCTCTCTTCTGCTGCCTGGAACCGCAATGACCTATAATGGGGAGGAAATCGGCATGGACAATACGTATATCACTTGGGCACAGACTAAAGATCCGCAAGCCAAAAACAATGGCGAAAAGGACTACCTAATGAAGTCACGAGACCTCGAGCGCACGCCCTTCCAGTGGGACAGTTCGACCAGCGCCGGTTTCTCTACCAATCCATCTACTTGGTTGCCCGTCAACCCCAACTACTTCCAGCTCAATGTGAAAGTAAGTTACTCACTCGCTTGCTTCCATAATAATTATTTTGACGTTGGATGCGGCAATTCAGTCGTTACGATTTAACACGTTACTTGTGTCTCATTTTTTGTGCCAACGTGTGAGCGCGACCACATAGTGATCGTCTTAAACTAAAAATCGAACATAAATAAGCATGTTAACAGTCCAATTTGGTAAGGCTATATCAGGTTAAGACAGTTAACAAGTTTTATGATCCAGTTTGTCCTTTATGACTAGTATTCATTTTCATATTTAAACACGTTTTATTAAACGATAATGCATGCAGGCCAATCCCGCATCTGTCAAGACCCACTGCTTACAATAATCATGCGGTTTGCGTTTTCCCCCGGCGGAAGTTAGGTCGGGTCCCCAAACAACGATCTCTGCTTTCCTTGTGTCGGTAGCGATGCGGATGTATGGCGTATGCAGTTTTGTTGAATAAAACGTGTTAAAATGTGAGAATGCACGTGTGGTCGTGCACGTCAAATTACATAAGAAACTGTAAACTGATATCTGATAAATGTTCCCAGGGAACAATAACCAATCAAACTTCATAAAATTGACGTGATTTGGTCAAAATTTCGTTTTCCACGTAAGATTGACGTGCTCGTTGCGGTTAATTGCCTTAAAGTGATGAAGTCAATAACAAAATTTATGCCTCTTTGATTGTTTTTTCTTGATTTTCAATGGGCTTGCGGACCTGATGTGTCTTCACATAATAAAGACTTCTAATAACATGACAATTGGGTTTGTTTTACAGGCTCAAGAAACCGCCGAATACTCACATCTTAAGATGTACAAAGCCCTGCTGAAGGCACGGCAACAGCCTGCAGTTCAAGGTCCAAACTATTCTGCTGATGCCATGGGAAATGTCTTGGTCATCAAGCGTGAGCTTGCCAACTACGACAGCTTCATTGTTCTGGTCAACTTTGACAGCAGCGAAAGTAATGTCAAGGTTTCGGATCTTGGACACAATTCACTGAATGTTTGGACTTCAAGCCTAAATTCAGATTGGAAAACCGGGTAATTTCTTTATTGATATTGATACGTATTTCTCCGCTTTCAAGGCATTTCTTATCACGTTTTACTTTCACGTGTTGCAGAAGTACGGTAACAGGAACAATAAAAATGCGACCCAAGAGCAGCATGGTTTTGACGACTGGAAGCACCCCTGCTCCTGCGACTAGTCCTGCGCCTGAAACTACTGCGGGAGGTAGTACCTCTACCGCGGCCCCTCCATCATCCCCTCAACCATCTCCTACACCATCAGGAAGTGGACAACTCATCCCATCTACAACTTTCCTAACAGCGCTTGTGTTTTTAATCTGCATGCAACTTTAAAAATGAACAAAGTAAAAAGCATAAGAGAGAAATATAAAAATTAAGAACAAAAACCAGAACAGAGAGATCTGAAGGCTGACGTAGTAAAACTACTAGTAATTGTTTTGCTAAAATTGTTTTCTTTTGGAATTATATTTTGAAATTAAACCAATTACCAAAACAAAAAAGTGATTTTCTTACACATTCAAGTGGAGGAAATTTCTTGGATTTCAAGGTCGTGTGGATAACTTCAAGATTGGCC